AGACAGAGTCTTGCTTTGTCACCCAGGCTGGAGTGCAATGGCGCTATCTCAGCTCACTGCAACCTCCGCCTCCCAGGTTCAAGCAATTCTCCTGCCTCAGCCTCCTGAGTAGCTAGGACTACAGGCACGTGCCACCACACCTGGCTAATTTTTTGTATTTTCAGTAGAGACAGCGTTTCACTATGTTGGCCAGGATGGTCTCAATCTCCTGACCTCGTGATCTGCCCGCCTTGGCCTCCCAAAGTGCTGGGAATACAGGCATAAGCTACCACGCCCAGCCTAAGATGTTACTATTATATCAATGTAATATGAATGCTATTTCTAGAAAAAGTCTAGTGCCAAATTTGTCTTGACTTATTACATAAAAACAACCTAGGAGCAGCTTTCCTTCTAGTTTGAGGTCAGTTAAGAATCGCTAACACAGTGGCAGTGTTAGATGAAGATGCTATCTACAAGGTAGATCATATACTGTTTGATACTCAAAACATTTTTCATTTTTAAAGTAGAAGGTACATAATTAGATATTTTAAGTCTTGGGTGAAAAAGTAGTTTTATATTTTACAAGGTAAAGATATAAATGATTCAAGTTTAAAGTTCTATTTGACTTTTTTGGTTTTTGTTTTTGAGACGAGTCGTGCTCCGTTGCCCAGGCTAGAGTGCAGTGGCGTGATTTTGGCTCACTGCAACCTCCACCCCTTGGGATCAAGTGATTCTCCTACCTTAGCTTCCTGAGTCACTGGGACTGCAGGTGCCCGCCACCATGTCTGGCTAATTTTTATATTTTTAGTAGAGGCGGGGTTTCACCATGTTGGCCAGGCTGGTCTCAAACTCCTGACCTCAAATGATCTACCCACCTCAGCCTCCCAAAGTGCTGGGATTACGGGCATGAGCCACTATGCCCAGTGCTCTATTTTACTTTTTTGTTTGTTTGTTTTGTTTTTCTGAGACAGAGTTTTGCTCTTGTTGCTCAGTCTGGAGTGCAATGGCAAGATCTTGGTTCACTGCAACTTCCGCCTCCCAGGTTCAAGTGATTCTCCTGCCTCAGCCTCCCAAGTTGCTGGGATTACAGGCATGCACCACCACTTCTGGCTAATTTTGTATTTTTAGTAGAGACAGGGTTTCTCCATATTGGTCAGGCTGGTCTCGAACTCCCAACCTCAGGTGATCCACCCGCCTCAGCCTCCCAAAGTGTTGGGATTACAGGTGTGAGCCACCGCCCCCAGCCCTATTTTACTTTGTAAAATAACATTCCTGCCGATTTTTATCTTGCTATGAGTTGGATGACACCGTGAATCTAATAAGGTTCACTGTTGACATAGTACACATTACATAGCTAAAATATATAGTCTAATTTTAAGGATAACTATTTTCTGTTGTGCAATATCTTAAAGGAAGCAACCATCTTTGGGAAAGTGTATCTGCTGCTCTTAGGGCCATGTTTGTATAAATATTTAAATAAACATATTCATTTATCTGAGTATTTCCTTTTACTTTTATTTCACTTTCATTCCCTCCTCTTTCAAACGGTTTTCAAACGGTTTCTCCTCCTAATGCACTTTTCTTTTTTTTTTTTTTTGAGACAGAATTTCGCTCTTGTTACCCAGGCTGGAGTGCAATGGCGCAATCTCGGCTCACCGCACCCTCCGCCTCCTGGGTTCAGGCAATTCTCCTGCCTCAGCCTCCTGAGTAGCTGGGATTACAGGCACGCACCACCATGCCCAGCTAATTTTTGTATTTTTAGTAGAGACGGGGTTTCACCATGCTGACCAGGATGGTCTCGATCTCTCGACCTCATGATCCACCCGCCTCGGCCTCCCAAAGTGCTGGGATTACAGGCGTGAGCCACTGTGCCTGGCCTTTTTTTTTTTTTTTTTTTTGAGACAGTATTACTTTGTCACCCCGGCTGGAGTGCAACGGAGTGGTCTCGGCTCACTGCAACCTCCACATCCCAGGTTCAAGTGATTCTCCTGCCTCAGCCTCTCAAGTAGCTGGGACTGCAAGCGCGTGCCACTACTCTTGGCTAACTTCTCTTTTTTTTGAGACGGAGTTTCACTCTTGTTACCCAGGCTGGAGTGCAATGGTGCGATCTCGGCTCACCACAACCTCCACCTCCTGGGTTCAGGCGATTCTCCTGCCTCAGCCTCCTGAGTAGCTGGGATTACAGGCACGCGCCACCATGCCCAGCTAGTTTTTTGTATTTTTAGTAGAGACGGGGTTTCACCATGTTGACCAGGATGGTCTCGATCTCTTGACCTCGTGATCCACCCGCCTCGGCCTCCCAAAGTGCTGGGATTATAGGCTTGAACCACCGCGCCCGGCCAACTTTTCTATTTTTAGTAGAGATGGGGTTTCATTGTGTTGGCCAGGGTCGTCTCGAACTCCTGACCTTGTGATCCACCAGCCTTGGCTTCCAAAAGTGCTGGGCTTACAGACGTCAGTCACTGCGCCTGGCCCACGATATTGTTTTTTTTGAGACAGTTTCACTCTTGTTGCCCAGGCTGGAGTACAATGACGCAACCTTGGCTCACCGCAACCTCCACCTCCCAGGTTCAAGTGATTCTCCTGCCTCAGCCTCGTGAGTAGCTGGGATTACAGGCATGCACCACCATGCCCAGCTAATTTTGTACTTTTACACTTGATCTTAGCCAAAAGGCTGAGAAGCGCTATTTTGTACTTTTAGTAGAGACTGGGTTTCTATATGCTGTTCAGTCTGGTCTTGAACTCCCAACCTCAGGTGATCTGCCTGCCTCGGCCTCCCAAAACGCTGGGATGACAGGCATGAGCCACTGCGTTCGGCCAATATTTTTAATGTTTTGATTTTTTAAAATTACTAACATTACACAAAGCAGAACTTAAAGAGTTTTCAGGTTATCTTAGTATTTTCTAAAACAGATGGCATCTTTGTGTTTATTTTTTGGTTTTTGTCTTGTTTTCATCACACGGTTCTGCTTTGTTGGGTGGGCTGGAGTACAATGCCACAATCACAGCTCACTGCAGCTTCAATCTCCCAGGCTCAAGCCATCCTCCCACCACAGCCTCCCAAGTAGCTGGGACTACAGTCTGCCACGCTTGGCTAGTTTTTAAATTTTTTGTAGAGATGGGGTCTTGCCATGTTACCCAGGCTGATCTCGAAATCCTGGACTCAAGCAATCCTCCCAGCTCAGCCTCCCAAAGTGCTGGACTACAGACATGAGCCACTGCGCCTGTGTCTATTTTTTTTTTGAGATGGCGTTTCACTCTTGTCGCCCAAGCTGCAGTACAATGGCGTGGTCTTGGCTCACTGCAACCTCTGACTCCAGAATAGCTGGGATTACAGGGGTGCACCACCTCACCGGGCTAATTTTTTGTATTTTTAGTAGAAACGGGGTTTCACCATGTTGGCCAGGCTGGTCTCAAACTCCTGACCTCAGGTGATCCGCCTGCCTTGGCCTCCCAAAGTGCCGGGATAACAGGTGTGAGCCACTGTGCCCAGCTGCCTGTGTCTATTTTTTGAATGGGCACTTCGTACCGTTTGATCCCCAACCCCTGGTTCCCTCACTGGATGCAGCTGCTGCCGTCATTTTCTTGAGTCCTCCCACTGGTGAGTCTTACATTTTTACAAACACATCCTTTTCTGCCTCATGTACATTTGAGTTTTCAACTTTAAAGGGAGCTTCTGATTCCATACTTTCTGTGTGCAGGAGACATACAAAGTGATTATAAACAAACTGTGTATCTGCCAATAAAAGGGCGGGGGAGGAACAAAGGAAAGAAGTGTAGCGGAATTATTTATTTACATTGGAAGCAGCTTTGAGGAACAGGTATATGAAGGCCAGACCTGAAGAACTGCAGCTCTGACACCAGGAACAAGGGGCTTAGGATACACAGTGTTTCTTTGTACATTTGTTTCCTTAGATGGTCACCTCCACCACCACAGCTTTTTCCTTTTTTTTCTTTTTTTAATTTTAATTTTAATTTTTTTTAAAGATGGGGTTTCACCATCATGGACAGGCTGGTCTTGAACTCCTGACCTCAGGTGATCCACCCACCTTGGCCTCCCAAAGTGCTAGGATTACAGGCGTTAGCCACTGCACCTGGCGTCACCAAAGCTTTTTAGAAGGCACTTTCCATGACAGATGCAGGTCGAGGTCACACATTAAAATCAGCCCTAACTGGCTTTTTGCTGAGTATGAGAGTCCCTGACTCTTGGGAAGATCCCACCAGCCCCTTTAATCTTAGAATGAAGGCAGTGCTCTCTGTGGCCCACTAACTTCAAAAGCTGAACTCAGACACCAAGGTAGGACGACCCACAGGCTCCATTCAGATCACCTCATCTTTCACTAGTTGCTGTGACAGGAAATCCTTTTCTTTTTTTAAACTTTTAAAATTAAACTTAACCTCCAAGTATACCTGTTAGGAAATCCTTTTTCTTTTTTTTTTTTTTTTTGAGACAGGGTCTCGCTCTGCCACCCAGGCTGAAGTGCAGTAGAATGATCTCCACTCACTGCAACCTCCACCCCTCAAGTACAAGTGATTCTCATGCCTCAGCCTCCCAAGTAGCTGGGATTACAGGTGCCTGCCACCATGCCTGGCTGATTTTTGTGTTTTTAGTAGAGACAGGGTTTCTCCGTATCAGCCAGGCTGGTCTTGAACTCCTGACCTCAGGTGATCCGCCTGCTTCAGCCTCCCAAAGTGCTGAGATTACAGGCGTGAGCCACTGCACCCAGCCCTTTTTCTTGGTTGTTTTTTTGTTTGTTTGTTTTTGTTTTTGAGATGACGTTTTGTTCCTGTTGCCCAGGCTGGAGTACAATGGTACAATCTCGACTCACCGCAACCTCTGCCTCCTGGGTTCAAGCGATTCTCCTGCCTTGGCCTCCCGAGGATTACAGGCATGTGCCGCCACATCCGGCTAATTCTGGATTTTTAGTAGTGATGGGGTTTCTCCATGTTGGTCAGGCTGGTCTCGAACTCCTGACCTCAGGTGATCTACCCGTCTTGGCTTCCCAAAGTGCAGGGATTACAGGCATGAGCCACCGCACCAGGACCTTTTTCTTGTATTTTAAAGCTGAAAACAAGATCCTGATGTTTGTGGTCTGGGGAGACGATGCCATGTCCCTGAGGCCAGCCCTCACCTGGGCTGTGTGAAGAAGGCATGGACCTGCTGTGCCACTGCTTGTCCGACCACCTGCTCCAGTTCCCGAATGGAAGCATTACTCAGTTTCTGGATGCTTGGAAACTTCTGGAGCAGAAGGGGAGCTTTAACTTTTCCAACTCCTGGGATCTGCTGCACGGTTCGAAGGAGGGATGGCTCAGACAGCAGCAGGGCCCGTTTCTTCCCTAGAAGAGGGTTCTTACTGGGCTCTTTGATTTGCTCTTGAACCTGAACCGCAAATGAAAGGAACAGCACGTGAGCGCCCTCTGGAGAACTGGCCATTTTCTTAAAATTTGTTTTGTGGAAATTTAGTTTTTCCATTTGGTTCGGCTTGACTTAAGGGAACAAATGTTTTCATATGCCATGAATATGATTTCTCAGACATGAGTGAAGTTGTTAAAAGGTGAACCACACAAAGGAGTAAGACATTAATAATTTACAAAAACGTGAGTTTTCAGAACGTTTAGAAAAACACACTGAGGAATTCCAACACTTTCTGATGGTGCATTAAGAAATATTTCAGTTGTGCAGGATTAAATGATGGCTACACCCAAACCAGACCTACTTCACGCAGGCCCTGCAGGAAGCCTGCTTCAAAGGAGAAACCTGGTCTGCAGTTACCGATGGCTATACAAAGGCAGACAATAGCACTGTATCAAGGAAAGTTAGGAACCGTGACGCAAAGGATATGGTAGAGAGGGATCTGTGAGCCATTTGTGGCTGCTTGCGTCGGCAGTGTGCCTCTCAACTCCAGCTCCACATCAGAGGGGGAGATTTAAACACATACAAAACAAAAGAAAAACACAACACACACACAATTGATGTTTGGGTCTTACCCCCATGCTGCGATTAGCAGTGTGAGCCTCTAAACTGATTTTAAAAATAAGTGTTGGCTGGGTGTGGTGGCCCAGCACTTTGGGAAGCTGAGGTGGGCGGATCACGTGAGCTCGAGAGTTCGAGACAAGCCTGGCCAACATGGTGAAACCCCGTCTCTACTAAAAATACAAAAATACAAAAATTAGCTGGGTGTGGTGGCAGGCACCTGTAATCCCAGCTACTCGGGACGCTGAGGCAGGAGAATCGCTTGAACCTGGCAGGCAGAGGTTGCAGTGAGCCAAGATTGTGCCACGGCACTCCACCGGGTGTGCAGATTGGGCAACAGAGCAAGACCTTGTCTGAAAAAAAGAAAAAACTTGCACAAGGTGCTAATGCTTAACAAAAACACATGGGGATGAGACAAAGCAGCTTCTGGTTGACGTTTTCTTTTTGAGATGGAGTTTTGCTTGTCACCCAGGCTGGAGTGCAATGGTGCAATCTCCACTCACTGCAACCTCTGCCTCCTGGGTCAAGTGATTCTCTTGTCTTAGTCTCCTGAGCAGCTGGGATTACAGGCATCTGCCACCATGCCCAGCTAATTTTTGTATTTTCTTTTTCTTTTTTTTTTGAGACAGAGTCTCGCCCTATTGCCCAGGCTGGAGTGCAATGGCATGATCTCAGCTCACTGCAACTTCCACCACTAGGGTTCAAGCAATTCTCCTGTCTCAGCCTTCTGAGCAGCTGGGATTACAGGCGCCCACCACCACGCTTGGCTAATTTTTGTATTTTTAGTAGAGACAGGGTTTCACTATGCTGGCCAGGCTGGTCTCGAGCTCCTGACCTCAGGTGATCTGCCCTCCTTGGCCCCCTAAAGTGCTGGGATTACAGGCATGAGCCACTGCACCTGGCAATTTTTGTATTTTTAGTAGAGACGGGGTTTTGCCACGTTGGCCAGGCTGGTCTCAAACTTCTGGCCTCAAGTGATCTGCCCACCTTGGCCTCCCAAAGTGCTGGGATGACAAACGTGAACCACCATGCCCAGCCTCTAGTTGACATTTTCCCTAGCAAAAGGGCAGGATAATGAGTGATGGAGCTATCACAGCCTGGGAGTCTAAAATCAGGTCTCCAACTTGTGCACTTTGTGATATACTTCCCTAGAGTGTGGGTGGCAAAGAGGTTTTATAAACCAAGGCAGAGAACGACATAGAATGGATACATGGTTGCAGCTAGAGGGAGGGCAGCTGAGTGTGCATGAGGACAGGGCTACCGTGAAGGTGTAGGAATTGTGAAGGTGTAGGAATCGCTACTCACCAACTGGATGATGAGGCAGGATGCTTCCATCTGGCTGGCCACTGGAAGCAGCACCATTCCAAGGTCCAGCACAGTAAACTTCTGTAAGGCTGGGAAGTATTGTTCACTCATCCGGGTTTTTTCAACAACTACAATTCCTTGAATATTATTGGACTTGAAAGGAAAAAAAAGACAGTAAATCATTTTGCAACCAAATTACTTTTTAGGTTAAGAGTGCTATCACTTCCTGCCTGGCCTGGCCAATGACTTTAAATAAATGATACCAAGAGACGGAGGGAAGAGGGGTGGTGAAACAAATCAATGTTCAATTTCAGTTTCTTTTTTTTTTGAGAATGAGTTTCGCTCTTGTTACCCAGGCTGGAGTGCAATGGCGCGATCTTAGCTCACCGCAACCTCCACCTCCTGGGTTCAGGCAATTCTCTTGCCTCAGCCTCCTGAGTAGCTGGGATTACAGGCACGCGCCACCATGCCCAACTAATTTTTTTGTATTTTTAATAGAGACGGGGTTTCACCACGTTGACCAGGATGGTCTCGATCTCTTGACCTCGTGATCCACCTGCCTCGGCCTCCCAAAGTGCTGGGATTACAGGTGTGAGCCACCGTGCCCAGCTAATTTTTTGTATTTTTTAGTAGAGACGGGGTTTCACCATGTTGACCAGGATGGTCTCGATCTCTCGACCTCGTGATCCACCGGCCTCGGCTCCCAAAGTGCTAGGATTACAGGCGTGAGCCACCGTGCCCAGCTAATGTTTTGTATTTTTAGTAGAGACAGGGTTTCACCACGTTGACCAGGATGGTCTCTATCTCTTGACCTCGTGATCCACCGGCCTTGGCTCCCAAAGTGCTGGGATTACAGGCGTGAGCCACCATGCCTGGCAATTTCAGTTTCTTTTTTTTTTTTTTTTTTTTTTTGAGCCGGAGTCTTGTTACCCAGGCTGGAGTGCAATGGCGCGATCTCGGCTCACCGCAACCTCCGCCTCCTGGGTTCAGGCAATTCTCCTGTCTCAGCCTCCTGAGTAGCTGGGACTACAGGCACGCGCCACCATGCCCAGCTAATTTTTTGTATTTTTAGTAGAGACGGGGTTTCACCACGTTGACCAGGATGGTCTCGATCTCTCGACCTCGTGATCCACCCGCCTCGGCCTCCCAAAGTGCTGGGATTACAGGCTTGAGCCACCGCGCCCGGCCAATTTCAGTTTCTTGAATCTAATACTAACATTTCTTTTCTTTCTTTCTTTTTTTTTTTTTTTTTTTTTTTTGAGATGGATTCTCATTCTGTCGAGCAGGCTGGAGTGCAGTGGCAGGATCTCAGCTCACTACAGCTTCTGCCTCCCAGGCTCAAGCGATTCTCCCATCTCAGCCTCCTGGGTAGCTGGGATTACAGACGTGCACCACCATACCCAGCTAACTTTTATATCTTTAGTAGAGACAGTGTTTCACCATGTTGGCCGGGCTGGTCTCGAACTTCTGACCTCAGGTGATCCACCTGCCTTAGCCTTCCAAAGTGCTGGGATTACAAGCGTTGCCGCAGCGCCGAGCCTAATACTTACATTTCTAACCCGAACAAGCCTCTTTCTGTAGCCATTTCCTGCCACCAAATCAGCTTCGGTGACATAAAGAACGCAGCATCTGTTCGACAGATAAAAGTCTGGTGTTAAGCCATCCTCGAAAATGAGCTTAATTTTCCCTTAAAATACAGAGAAGAAAGAGTTCCGTGAGCTTTGGATGAAAACATGGCAATCAGCAAACTTTTTTTTATTTTTTAATGTGTCAGAGGTGGCAAGAGCTGGCAGAGGGCAGCCCACTCACCTTGCATCTCCTGCGCCAGCTGTGACCTGCGCCATTTCTCATTCGCCACAACATGCCCCAAAGGCACATGCACGGGGCCCGTGCCATCAGAGGGGTTCCTTTCCATGGTCAGTCTCTACCTAAGGAGGGAAAAGCCAGGCGGCACTTGAGCAGGCTCTCCCTCACACGGCCCTGCATTCCACTCCAAGCCGGGGCCTCTGGGGCAGGATCCCGTCTGCAGACTGAATTGTCAAAGAACTGCCAAATAAGATTCTCTTTTTAATTACTAATAAGAAAACACAAAGGTCTCAATGAAGGCCAGGGTGGCTGGAGAGGGGGTGTGTGATGGTGGAGGTGGTAATGGCATTGGGTTCCAACAAGGGCTGAGGCACGATCAGAATCCTGGGCTGAGCATGGTAGCTAACGTCTGTAATCCCAACACTGGCCGAGGCTGAGGCGGGAGGATCGCTTGAGTCCAGGAGTTCGAGACCAGCCTGGGCAACACAGCGAAATCCCCTTTGCCAATTGTCTGCGGCCAAATAAATTTTCTAAGAACCAGGAGATTCTTGTCCTGGTGTCCACTTCCTTCATTTTCATCACGTGCCTAGACCCGACACCCCAGCTGGATCTGCACCATGGCTCCTTAGTCTAATCCTGGGCCCAGACCGAGGCCGCAGGGACCCCACCGTCCGAGTCTAGAGTCCACATTACCTGGGGTAGCGCCACTTCCAGGTTCACGCCTTCGGTGCCCGCCCAGTCCTTCATCCAGCCCGCCCTCCGCCAACCGCAGCGCCGATAGGCTGTGGTGTCAGAAATGAACGCCTATCCTGACCAATAAGAGAACGAATAGGGCGGACATTTCCGCTCTGTCGGGGATTTGAACGGGAGCCCGCTGGTTGCCAAGAACGACTGGTGTGGCAGTAACCTTACCTCTGATTGGTCGCAGGCCGAACTGAGCCAATGGCCGACATGGTTACTGCAAAGTCCATTGCGAAGAGAAAGCGTGTTGTGGGTTGGGCCAGCAGCGGGCTTTTAGTGGGTGGTCCCTGGCGGTAGAGAGATCTGCTGATGAGGAGTCCAGCCCCGGGTCCGACCTCGTCGCGCCGCAAGGATGTTCCTGGGGTTTCGGAGAGGCCGCAGGAGCCAGTTCGTAAGTAGATGCTCGCCCGCCGCGCTCGGGGCTCTGTGGGGCCGGGTAGAGGGTTGGGGCGGGTTTGGGGTTTGGTCTGAGATCCAGACAAGGTGGCGGCGCAAGAGGAAATGGTTTTCAGTTTAAGAAGCCTTGATTTTTTCCTGTTCTAAACTTTTTATTTATTTATTTATTTATTTATTTATTTATTATTATTTTTTAAGACAGGGTCTCGCTCTGTCGCCCAGGTTGGGGTGTAGTGGCACGATTATAGCTCACTGCGGCTTCAACTTCCTGGGCTCAAGTGATCCCCCTGCCTCAGCCTCCCCAGTAATTGGGGCTACAGGTGTGCACCACCATGCCTAGCTATTTTTTATTTATTTTATTATTTGCCTCACATTGCCAAGTCTCAATGCCTGGCTAATTTTAAAAATTCTTCTGTAGAGGCCAGTCAAGGTGGCTCACGCCTGTAATCCAGCACTTTGGGAGGTTGAGGTGGACAGATCATTTGAGGTCAGGAGTTCAGTATCAGCCTGGCCAACACGGTGAAACCCTATCCTACTAAAAACACAAAAATTAGCAGGTGTGGTGGTGCGTGCCTGTAATCCCAGCTACTCAGGAGGTTGAGGTGGGAGAATTAAATCTGAGAGGCGGAGGTTGTAGTGAGCTGAGATTGTGTCACTGCACTCCAGTCTGGGTAACAAAGTGAGACTCTTGTCTCAAAAAAACATAAAAATGTGTGTGTGCGTGCCTTGGTAGAAATGGGGTCTCACTCTGCTGCCCAGGTGGTCTTAAACCTTAGCTCAAGCAATTCTCTCACCTTAGCCTCTAAGAGTTGTTGGGATTACAGTGTGAGCTGCTGCACCTGGCCTGAGTTTTCATTCAAAGCAGCAAACATTAATGAGTGCCCGCTGCAGGCTAATACCCACAACTGATTGACAGCTTATGGTCTGGAGGATAGACAAGCCCATAAATAATTCTGTACCAAATGGTGAAACAAGAACTGCTGTTGACGTGTATACCAGAAGGGCAATGACGCCAGTAGTTGAGTGGAGAGTTCGCCTGGGCCTGGCGGAGAGTAAGGAAAGAGTTCTGGGTACAGAAGACAGCAAATACCAAGGCCTGAAAAAGAGTGAATTACTTGCTGTTGGGGAAATGGAAGGTGAGGCTGAGTACTGAAGTACACGGACTCTGCCCAGGAAGAGCAGGGGAAGCAGGAAATGAATTTGAGTCCTTGTGATGGCAGGGGCTGCACACTCCTTGGAGCCAGTGGAAGCCCCGCCCCTTGTGAACTGCTGCAGACCCAAGCCTCCTGTTCTAGGGAGCAGGCAGGAGCCCCACCCTCCTGGCGGGGGCTACAGCCACCCAAACTGCACTTGTGGATCCCAGCCTCCGTGCTCTTGAGGGAGCCGGGAAAGGGCAGGATCTGCCCTCGCAGGTGCAGGTGTAGTTGCAGCTGTGGGGCCTGAAGCTGCAGGCAAGAACCAGGAACAGGTGGGAGCCCTGCCCCTTCCAGGTTGGCGGGTGGGAGCTCCCAGGTGCAGCTGTGGCTGCCCTCCCAGGCATAGGACCGGGGTGTCTCTGCAGCCTGCTCTGTTGGGCATCCCAGGAAGGGGCAATTCCTCCACCCTCCAACTCTGCAGGCTCAGGAGTGTCTGCTCCCATCACCTGGCCTCTCTCCACTCTGGCCACCTGCTGTGATCTTGGAGGAGGATTGGAGCCAAGCCCTGGGGCCCTGAATGGCCCCAGCCTCAGGCTAGGGAGGGCCTAAAGGCTGGGGGCTGGGCTGCCAGTCCCCTGGAGTAGAAATTCATGGAGCCTCTTCTGGGCCTGCCAGTGGCTGCCCATGGACCAGTTAGCATGCACTTTCTCTCCTCTGAGGTCCATAAAAACCCTGGGCTCAGCCAGAGCAGGGCAAAGGACGGCCAGAAGACAAAGAGGGCAGACAGATGAGGGGACGGGATGACCAGCTGCAGAGAGGAGAACCTTTGCTGCGAGCTGCAGAGACCACCCACCAGCAGAGAGGAGCTACCCTCTCTGCTGAGAGCTTTAGAGACCTGCAGAGACATTGGAATGGCTTTTGCCTGTGGAGAGCAGCCACCCTCTCCATGGTCTCCTCTCTGCTGAGGTTGACACTTGAGCTCATGAGACGATCTGGCTGCAGAGGGGAGCTACCCACTCCTCTGAGCTGGTTTCAGACTAAATAAAACTCTTTTTCATGCTTCTGAGGTCTGCGTACCTCATTCATTCTTCCTGGACACGGGACAAGAACTTGGGCAAAGGCACTGTGGCCACAGAGGTTCCGGCCAGTAAAATTGACACCCCAGAGATTCTGTAACTCTTGGTAGGAACCAAGTTATATCAGCTCAAGTATGCCGTGCTGGACACGTGCCTGCTGTTGAGAGAGTGGGGCTGCCTCAGGGTTTTTCTGCCTGGTAGAGACATGATCGGCGAGGGGACCAGAGTTAGGAAATGACTGTGATGGTATGAGACGTGTTTAGTGTGCAATGGGGGATTCACTCTTTCAAAGAAAAACAAGAATAAATCTTAGCCCTTTTGGAGGACCCTACTGGACGCCAGCCCCTGGGATTCAAAGGTTAAGAAAACCTTTTCTGGCCAGGCATGGTAATTCTCACCTGTAATCCCAGCACTTTGGGAGGCCGAGGCATGTGGATTGCCTGAGTCAGGAGTTCGAGACCACTCTGGCCAACATGGTGAAACCGTGTCTCTACCTGTCTCTACAAATGCCTGTAGTCCTGGCTACTTGGGAGGCTGAGGCACAAGAATAGCTTGAACCCAGGAGGTGGAGGTTGCAGTGAGCCGAGATCATGCCACAGTGAGCTGAGATCATGCCACCCCACTCCAGCCTTGGGAACAGACAAGACTGTTTCCAAAACAAGCAAACAAACAAAAACCCTTTCTTATCGTGCAGCAGGTGGTGGTGGGGGTTGGGGAGGAAACAGACGTGGAGACTGTTGAATCCCTTGACAGATGCAGGGTGGTGGGCACCACTCAGAGAGGTAAACAGAGTGGGGGTATTGGGTAGAGACTGCTTGGAGCATCTGCTCCTGTGGGTGACTGTGCAATGGGGGATAGGGGCTGTAAGAGATGACTGGAAGGTCTGCCCATCCCTCACTCCTGAAAGATGCCTCCGTGCTGCGCCACACTTCCCAGCCTTGTGTCTCTTGCCAACCACTCCCTAACTTTCCTGGGGCCACTGCCAGTGAGTGCTTCTCACTAGGCCCTGGGATCTCCTCCGTCTGCTCTGAAAGCCCTTCCCGTGGGAACTGTCCCCACCTCTCCCCCACCCCACACTTGCAGATGCCTCTGTACTCCAGCAAAACAGAGAACCGTAAGAGCACTGCAACCAATGTCTTGCTCCATTCCTTTGTTCATGCTGTTCCCGCTTCCTAGAATGATATTCCATAATGTTTCCAAATGTGGGACCAGTGGGCATCTTTGAAAGCCCAGTCTAAATGCCTGTGTGCTTTTCTCGAAGGAAAGCATCTGAAAGTTCCCAGGCTGGCCCCAGGCCTGGAGGAGTGCTTCCCTGCCTGCACCACCCCAGCCCTTTGTGCTAATTACTGGCTCCAAACAGAAAATGATAGTGTTTTTCTCCCACATCTCACTGATGCTTTTTTTATTTTTGTCATTTTTAGTGAGAGAGCCTTTCTCCCAGCTCATTCCATAATTCTATGTTCTGTAGTAACTATTCGGTGTTTTTCCTCTCTACTCACCACTTCGGGGATGAGGACAAGGTGTCTTCATTGCTGTCATGGTGTTCTGCCTCTAGTAGGTGGGAATGAATAGTTCCTGCCAAGAAAATGATTGGACTAGCCGGGCACGGTGGCTCACGCCTGTAATCCCAACACTTTGGGAGGCCGAGGCGGGTGGATCACGAGGTCAAGAGATCGAGACCATTCTGGTCAACATAGTGAAACCCCGTCTCTACTAAAAATACAAAACATTAGCTGGGCATGGTGGTGCGTGCCTGTAATCCCAGCTACTCAGGAGGCTGAGGCAGGAGAATTGCCTGAACCCAGGAGGCGGAGGTTGCAGTGAGCCGAGATCGCGCCATTGCACTCTAGCCTGGATAACGAGAGAAACTCCGTCTCAAAAAAAAAAAAAAAAATGATTGGACTAAACCCAGAAACTTCTCAGAGACTCCCAGTTACCTAAAGTGGGGTTCTCTGACTTTGATTGTGTGTAGGAGCTAGTTTTCATTACTCATCTTGGAGATAAGCCACCTAAAATTTTATATTAAGCCCCTTTGAGGTGTGAGGCAATGTGCTCTAGGATTGATAAAGATAAGAGAGTTGGCCAGGTGCGGTGCCTCATGCCTGTGATCCCAACACTTTGGGAGGCTGAGGTGGGAGGATCACTTGAAGCCAGGAGTTCGAGACCAGCCTGGGCAACATAGTGAGATCCCATCTCTACAAAAAATACAAAAATTAGCTAGGCATAGTGGTGAACATCTGTAGTCCCATCTACTTGCACAGCTGAGGCCGGAGGATTGCTTGAGTCGGAAGTTTGAGGCTGCAGTGAGCTATGATTGTACCACTGCACTCCACTCTGGGCAACAGAGCAAGACCCCGTCTCAAAAGCAAAACAAAACAAAAA